AAACTTCTGTTTAACTTGGCCAACCAATCAGCACCCAGTTTTCATAGTATGAGTTGTTCCCTTTGTAATTGGTATTCTTGCATCTATGCTGATGAGTACAAACATGTCACTCTTTTTCAGAAATGCAAAAATGCACTGCTGAAAAGTCTGGCACTGCCCATTAATGAACATGAACTAATCCCCACTTAACTTAATTCCAGAATGTGCTGCATTCTGGAATTGATTACCCCTGGGGACAGGAAAGGGAGCACCTGTCCTGTCTCTCTCACTAATGGAGCTACCAACCTTTATGGAGTCATAGAGATGTACAGCATGGAAGCAGACCCTTTTGTCCAACTTGTCCATGTTGACCACATATCTTAAATTAATTTAGCCCCATTTGGCCCATAACCCTCCCAAACCTTCACATTCATATACTGATCCAGATGCCTTTTAAATGTTGTAATTGTACCAGTCTCCACCACTTCCTCTGGCAGCTCATTCCATACATGGACCACCCTCAGTGAAAAAGTAGCCCCTTGGGTCCATTTTAAATCTTTCCCCGCTCACCTTAAACCTATGCCCTTTAGTTTTGGATTCCCCCGCCCCAGAGAAAAGACCTTGTCTATTTAGCCTATGCATGCCCCTCATGATTTTGTAAACCCCTAAAATGTCACCCCTCAGCCTCTGATGCTCTAGGGAAAAATAGCCCCAGCCTATTCAGCCTCTTCCGTATAGTTCAAACCCTGGCAAAATCCTTGTAAATCTTTTCTGAAGCCTTTCATGTTTCACAACATCCTTCCTGTAGAAGAGAAACCAGAATTGCACGCAGTATTCCAAAAGTGGCCTAACCAATGTCCTGTTCAGCCACAACACGACCTCCCAATTCCTGTACTCAATGCGCTGACCAATAAAGGCAAGCATATCAAATGCCTTCTTCACTGTTCTATCCACCTGCTACTCCACTTTCAAGGAACTATGAACCTGCATCCCAAGGTCTGTTTGTTCAGCAGCAATCTCCAGGACTTTACCATTAAGTGCATTAGTCCTGCCATAATTTGCCTTCGCAAAATGCAGCACCTCATATTTATCTAAATTAAAATCCATCTGCTGCTCCTTGGCCCATCTGATCAAGATCCTGTTGTACTCTGAGGTAACCTTATTCGCTGGCCACTATGCTTCCAATCTTGGTGTCATCTGCAAACTTGCTAACCATGCCTCCTATGTTTCCTTAGTCATAGATACGTAGCCATTTTATTCCTGAGCTGAAAATATCCTTTGTGCATGATCCAGACTTTGGATGATGACATCTATAATTGTATACTGGCTGGGTGTTTATCCACACTTAAGACAAATGCAACTAAGACTTTAATGTCATTCTTCTCTTTCTCCTGAAATTACGATGGCACCATCAAGATAGTCAATGCAACATTGAAACAGTAATTTGTGCGGTAAACCTTCCTGTGTGCTTTACTGAATCAAGCCCAGCCCTCCATGCCTCCCCTATACTGTTTTTGAAATTGCTAAGGTATACTATCTCTCCTCAGTTAAGGGAAATTTAATCAGGCAGTTCAAAGTTTTGAGAGGTTTTGATAGGGTAAAGAAGGAGAAACTCAATTCAAAGATGTGCAGGTCAGGGTGGATTGGCTGTGCAAAATGCCCAGAGTGTCCAGGGATGTGGAGGCTACGTGGATTAACCGTGGGAAATGCAGGGTTATAGGAGTGGGGTAGGGGAGTAGTCTGGGTGGGATTCTCTTTGGAAATTTGGTGTGGACCTGTTGAGCCAAATGGCCTGCTTCCACACTGTAGGGATTCTATGATTTCTATTGGCAAAAGTGGGTGAAGAACTGTATGGGATATATTTAAAATATTTGATACAAGTGGCAGGTGGAGGGGATTTGGAGATGATATCTTTCCTTCTTGGTGAGTTAATGTGAGATGGAACAGACTATTTGTGCCACACTTTCAGACAGATTCAACACTCTCTCTTTATAAAAGAAATGAGTAAGAATCTCGAGTAAGCTGGGCTGTGGGGAAAACCTGGAACCAATTGAATGTTTCAAAAAGGCCTGCTCCTGGACTGATGTTCCAGTGCAGTCTTGAGACTGTGCTGCACTATCAGAGATGCCATATCTTGAATGAGACGTCTCATCTACCCTCTCAGGTGGACAGAATAAAATCGCATGCCACTATTTTGCAGAAGAGCAGGGGAGTTACGATGGTGTGGTGGCCAGTGTGGTTGCTTAATTAACATTTTGAAAACCGGTCTGGTCACAACTGGATTACTCTTGTGCAAGCAGGTGCTATGCTTACACCAGTAACTACATTTTAAAAGTGCCGAATTGTCCATGAGGTGGTTTGGGAAAGACGTGACAGGAGAGTTGACCAGAGTTGATTGGAACGGGAACCTAGCAGGGAAAACGATGGAACAGCAATGGGAAGATTTTCTGGGAGTAATTTAGGAGGCACAGCAAAAATTCATCCCAAGGAAGAAGAAGCATACTAAGGGGAAGCTAGGCAACCATGGTTGACGAGGGAAGTCCGGGACAGCATAAAACCAAAAGAAAAAGCACATAATGTAGTGAAGATTAGTGGGAACGCTTTAAAAGCCAGCAGGGGATACCTTAAAAAAGCAATAAGGAGGGAGAAAATGAAATATGAGCAAAAGTTAACTAGTAATATAAGAGAAGAGTGGAAAAGATTTTTATAAGGTATGTAGAAGTCAAGAGTGGATATTGGACTGCTGAAAAATGAGGCCAGAGACGTAATAATGGGAACAAAGAAATGGCGGAGGAACGAACAGGTACTTGGTATTAGTTTTCACAGTGGAAGTCACTTTTAGCATTGCAGAACTTCAAGAGTTGGGGACAGAGGTGAGTGCAGTGGCTATCACTAAAGGTGCTGGAGAACCTGAAAGGTCAGAAGGTGGATAAATCATCTGTACCAGGTGGACTACACTCCAGGGTGCTGTATGAGGTAGCTCAGGAGATTATGGAGGCATCGGTGATGATCTTTCAGGAGTCACTGGAATCCAAGAGGATCCCAAAGGACTGGAAAGCAGCTAATGTTACACTCCTATTTTAAGAAGGGAGGGAGGTAGGACACAGGAAATTATAGGGTGGTTAACCTGACCTCGTTAGTAAGATGTTGGAGTCCATTATTAAGGGTGAGATAGTAGAATAAGGAAATGTGTAGTAAAATAGGGCGGAGTCAGTGTGGTTTCATCAAGGGGAGGATATGCCTAACAAATCTGCTCAAAATCTTTGAGGACATAACAAACAAGTTAGACAAAGGAGAGCCAGTGAATGTGATGTATTTGGGTTTCCAGTAGGCCTTTGACAAGGTGCTGCATAGGATGTTGCTAAATAAAATAAGAGATTTAGGGGCAAGGTACAGGCATGGTTAGAGGACTGGCTGACTGGCAGAGGCAGAAAGAAGGAATAAAAGGGTTTTTATCAGGGTAGCAGCCATAAACTAGAGGAGTGTGGCAGAGATCAGTGTTGATACCACAACTGTTCATGATAATGATCTGAATAAAGGAACTGAGGGCATTATTGCCAAGTTTGCAGATGTCAAAAAGTTGGGTGGAGTGCCAGGTCATGTTGAGGAATCATAGAATCCCTACAGTGTGGAAACAGGCCCTTCGGCCCAACAAGTCCACACCGACGCACAGAGCCTCCCACCCGGACCTAACCCCTACTCTCCACATCCCTGAACACTACAGGCAATTTAGCATGGCCAATCCACCTAGCCTGCACATCTTTGGATTGTGGGAGGAAATCGGAGCACTCGGAGTAAACCCACGCAGACACGGTGAACGTGCAAACTCCACACAGACAGTTGCCCGAAGGTGGAATCGAGCCTGGGTCCCTAGCGCTGTGAGGAAGCGTGGAAGCCGCAGATTAACTTAGACAGATGGAGTGTGGGCAAAGAAGCGGCAGTTGGAAGACAATGTGGAGAAGCGTGAGGTAATGCACTTTGAAGATTAGAGATGTAGACTGTTTTCTAAAATGGGAAAGGTTTTGTAAGTCTGAAGCACACAGTCTTAGTTCAATTCCTCTTAAGGTTAACATACAGGTTCAGTTGGCAGTTAGGAAGGCAAATGCAATGTTAGCATTAATTTTAAGGGCAAGAATACAAGAGAAGGGATGTATTGCTGATGCTTTATAAGGCACTAGTCAAACCCCATTTGAAATATTGTGAGCAGTTTTGTGCCCTGTATGTAAGGAAAGATGTGCTGGTGTTACACAAGAGGTTTACAGGAATGAACCGGGGGGTGAAAGGCTTGTCATATGAGGAGCAGTTGTGGACTTGGACTGTACATTTAGAAGAATAAGGAGGATCTGATTGCAGCTTACTGAATACAGATAGATCCTGGGTAGAGTGGACATGGAGAATGTTTCCACAAATAGGAAAGACTAGGACCCAAGTGATGGGTTGGCCCTTCAGAACTGAGGTGAGGAGGAATTTTTTTCATCCAGAGTGGTGATTCTGTGGAACTCACTGCCACAGAGTGCTGTGGAGGCCAGGATATTGAGGCTCTTTCAGATAGGTTCTTGATTTGTTCGGGGATCGAGCGTTTTGGGGAGAAGGCAGGAAAATGGGGTTGAGAGACAAATCAGCCGTGATCAAATGGTGGAACAGGCTTGATGGGCCAAATGACCGAATTCTGCTCCTATATCTTGTGGTCTTACAGGAAGTTTTGAGTTGGTGAAACCTGTATGTAACTCCCTTAATTGAGGTACAATGGGTCAAATGACCCCCAGAAGGGCAATGAATTCACCAAGTTCACTACTGTTTGATGGAAGTGTGTGATCACATATTAACTGATAGGACCAGTCCCTCCAGTGTGTCTTTTAAAGTGGGCTTGTAAGTTTGCATTCAAAGTGCTGTTGGTCAGTAGTAGTTGGTCAGTGGTGGTAGTCCAATTCAATCCATTGCACTGCAGTCTAAACCTATGCAGGTTGAGGCTATGCTTTTCTGAGCTCTTTCGCAATACCAGTTTGAGACTTTTTTTTTTCAGCAACATCACCATGGCTTACTCTGACGTAAAAGACTTGGTGCTTCGTGACATTGATCGGATCCTCTTCCCTTCCTCGGATTGCCGCCAGTTCAACAAAACCGAATCGCTCAGGTATGTTTAAGCTCATGAGGGTGGTTGAGGTAGGATTGAGTGGGGTTGTGTGTGTATGGGAGAGTGTTGTGGGGGCTGGGAAAGGAAGGAGGAGGATGAGAGCTGAAATGAGAGATTTCAATCCTGTCCCTGAGGTACCACTTAAGTCGCTGGAGAATCCTTTTTAATTCTTCCTCCCACTATTAGTTAGAAGTTGCACAGAAGCAAAGGTTTTCCATAACCAACCAATGTCAACCCACTTAGCCTGTTGAGAAAACCAGTTTTGGGGTAAAGTGTGTGTGTGTGTGTGTGTGTGTGTCTGTTTCTTCAGTGCTGACTAGATGATAAATTAAATGGCTGGCTATTATATTAGGAGTTTTGTTGTTTTCAATGTTTCTCTCCAATTCAGACTTGCCGATGAATTGCGTGGCTGGGTACACCGACATCAAATTGAAAGGACAAAGTCCAATGAGAAACCAAAGCGTCAAAAGAAATTTAAACAAGGCATGGTAAGTGGGGATTGCCCAAGTGCTGAACCATGTCTGTACGAGGTGAATATAAGTGTGACTGGTCCTGCTATTTACCTGTGTGTACATGTTCCCTCACCAAAGAAGTTGGCAGAGATTATTGCTTCACAAAATTAACATACATTCTCTGCTGGAGAATGGACATGTGGAATCCTTGAGGGTGAGGACTAACAGTTGTTGCCTGATCTCATCCTTGCTTGTTTTAAGACGGAGAGTCTCAGCTTTGAGCTGTTCTTCATGCTGATAGATTTGTGCTTCATTTCCCATCTTTACTCTTGAATCTCTCCACTGCTTCACCCTCTCTGTAATCTCCTCCAGTTCCACAACCCTTTGCAGTCGATGTGCTCAGCTAATTCTGGTCAGTTGCTTATCATCAGTTTGCTTTCAGTGGCTGTGCCTTTACTTGATGAGACCCGAAATATTCCTCCTTAAACACCTGTACCTTTCTGACCCCTTCAACTTTAACTAAACTTTGCTCATCTAATCCTCATAGATCCTTGTGTGGTTTGGTCCCAGGTAATGACTGATAATGCTTCTATGCAGATTTTATGTTAAAGGTGCTACTTTAAAATGCAAATAATTCAGGATGTACCCTTGCGTCTCGTAGTTTGTGGGATCAGTGCTTTATAGACACGGTCTGCCAAATTGACATTTCCTTGACGTTGTTCTTTGTGTGAGGCTGTCACTTTTCTGAGCTCCATCATAATCCAGAGTACTAACTGATGACTGATAATTGGGACAGTTGAATGCAGCCAGGATTACTTTACTGGGAACATTTTGAAATCGTTGAGCATGCACTGCTGCCTAACACCATGAAGTCTGGCGACTGTAATGCGTGCCAATTTTTCTTATTTATTCAAACTGCTGTGCAACATTGTCTGAAGAGAATGAAGATGTCAATGAAGAAATAATTTGCAAATGTTGATCATCCTATTTCATTCCCTGGGTAACCAAGGGCCCTTTAGTCAATTAATTACCTTAAATGAAATTGGTGTCATTGTTAATGATTGTCAGCTAGTTAATTTGCACGGTTTGATTTGAGGAATGTTTGTCAAGTGTCCAGGAGGATGCCAGATAATGTTTTAGATACATTTTAAGCGTATGTTACAAGTATATTTTCAGATGTGTATCAAATATGTTCAATAATTTCGCACATGTAGGTAGGTGGGTCCTCTGTTTAATACCTCACCTGCAAGTTGGCATCTCCAGCAATGGGGTACTCCTACAATTTCCTACAGTGTGGCAAATTGGGTCAACCTAGATTGTGCTCTCGGAACTCGAGAGACATTTGAACCCATGAGAACTTTCTGACCTTCATGCAGAAGTGCCCCTACAATCTGATGCTTGAACAGGATTCATTAATTTGTTCCTCTCCGTAAAAGACAAGAGGGGTAATGCTTTTGAATCCTTCTGTGTTTGTAGAATGGGTTAAGGGGAACGTGGTCAGAGGTTATTTGTTAATTGTTATCAGTGTGTCTCTTTCAGAGGGCACAGCAGAGGAAGATCAATCTGTCCAGGTTTATTTCAATTCATTCTGCGGAGTCTTCCACCAGGTGGGTACACAGAGTTCTGCCTCAGTGATTCATCCATGCATTTGGACCATCGTTTAATTTCAGATGGTTGGCTGACTCTGAATTAAACATTTCTTTCCTCACTTCAAACTGGCTTCTTTTAAGCAAACTAAGGATCATTCCTTTACCCAGCAGGCAAAAGAGGCTGTTTCAGATTTGAACTATAACAAGTAATTTCTATGAATCCTGCGGGATGCTAATCTGGCTGCGTGTTTACATTCCAAAGCTGCCTGATGTAACAGCACAGCGAAATTACAGGGAAAATGCTCTGCCTCATGATCATTAATATTGGCTTCAATTTGGGGAAGTCACAACTGATTAAAGCACATCATTCCATTTATAGAATTTCTAACTTGGAATCTTTTCATCAGAGTTTTTGTAAACTCTTGGCTACTGTGCTCCAAATATTCCACATCAGTTTGAAAATGGACTTTTTAGACTTCTTTTTTTAATTGCCCATTTTTTTGTTTTGCTGGGGTCATTCCCATCTTTATTTATCCCCTTCTTTTCCTATTTTACAAATGGTAATGTTTGCCACTACTCTACGTTGGGAGTACCAGTATATATTAACAAAATCTGTTTCCAAAGCTGTGACCATCGTCATTTTTCACCTTTTTGGGTGAGGGGTCAAATGAAGACCCCGTCAGTAAAATATTTCACGAATACCTTATTAAAGAAGACCAAGGGATTTACAAGTAGAATCTTTAGCTTTAATTATCCCTCAACCTATACCATTTTTAAAAAATACAATATAGCCATTTATCATTGCTGTTTGTAAGAGATTTCTGTCTATAATTTGGCTGGTACAGTTCCACAGCTATGGTAGTGGCGACACTTCAAGATTACTGACTATATTGCACATTGAAATGCCCTGAGATTGTAAATTTTGCCATGTAAATACAGCCTTTGTTTCTTCCTTCCTGGTGCAATGAATTTAATTCTTTCTGTGCAATTGTATTCAATAATTTATTCCCAGTACCAGAAAAAATTGATAATTGACCATTTGTTATTTTAAAAATAAAAGTGCCTCATGTCCATTCACATTCTTCGCACGCATGATCTACTGTGCTCTGAAGTTGATCTGATGTTCTCAGTCATGATGAATTGTGAATCTGTTCTACCAACCACCTGACGGAGCCCAGAGAGTGAGTGTATCACCTGGACAGCCGGTGGAGTTATTGAAAGACTTTGGTGCCACGGGAGACCAGCCAGGGTTGGAAACACCCGCAGCCCCAGGTGGTTACACATTCCCACCAGAGCTGAAAGCATTTCCATATTTAACTCCGAATCTACTCATCACACCTTGTAGTGCCTCTAAGTTGATACAGGGTCTGGGGTGAGAGCAAGAATATGGTGATCATATTGAATGGGGGAGCAGGCTCGATGGACCAAATGGCCTACTCCTCCTATTCTGTTTTCTGCTCCTGGTGGTTTAAAATGTTTTCCTTGTTGGCAGGTTGACCTCCAGTCAGTTACAGGTTTACCAGAGCCCCGAGCAGAGTTACTATGACTTCATGGATGCTATCGATAGAAGGGAAGACACCTTCTATGTGGTTTCGTTCCGAAGGGTAAATATGAGCAGTTTTTGAATGTTGCTGGTTTGTGTGCAAGCGCGTGCGCATATGTGTGTGGTGAGTGCTAATGGGCACAAGCATGTGGCAGGATTTAAATCTTAACTTCCTCTACCCTGTTACAGGATCACCTGCTGTTACCAGCTATCAGTCACAACAAGACCAACAGGCCGAAGATGTCCCTCGTGATGCCAGCTATGGCAGTGAATGGTAAGCAAGAGTGCCGCCTGCTTAAAGTTGAACTAGACCATCTGAGAACAGAAACAAACCATTTGAACGAACATTTTGAATGTGTTTCCTCTTGATTTCAAAATACTATTATATAACTGAAATGAAAGCATTTAAATGCTGGAGAAACTCGACGGCACTGGCAGCGTCTGTGGTGAGAGAAGTGAAATTAAATTTTGAACCCAGTGATTGTTTACATTTCAATTTCCACATTCCAATCTATCTCTGATCATTCCATTATCTGACAAGAATCTAGCCATCTACATCTTAAAAATATTTAATGACCACCACCCCCACCTCCACCTTCCAAGGCTTAGAGTTCCAAAGTCAGAGAACACACAAAAAATAATTGAGCTCAAAGCCTAATATTAAAATAGTATCCCAAGTTCTCAACTCCCCTGTGAGAATAAATATCCTTTCCCACACACTAGTCAAGACCATTCAAAGTTTTATACACTTCAGTCACACCTCACAGTACCAAATTCCAGTGAAAGTACGCCCAGCCTGTCCAACCATTCGTCCTAAGACAACCCAATCCTCCAGGTAGCTTCTCTGAATGGCCTTCAACACATTTATGTCCCTGCCTATGAGCAGACCAAAATGCACACAGCAGTCAAGATGCAATCTCACCAATGACCTATACAACTGAAGTGAAACATTCTTACTTCTGAGATAGTAAGAACTGCCGATGCTGGAGTCAGAGATAACACAGTGTGGAGCTTGAGGAGCACAGCAGGCCAGGCAGCATCAGACAAGCAAGAAAGCGGACGTTTCGGGTTGGGTTCCTCATAACACAGGATAACTTTCTATTAGCCTTAATCACTTGCTGTATTTGTGTATTAACTTTGTGACATATACTATTCAGTAAATTTCTCTGATGCAGCAGTGCTTCTCCTGAGCAGCTGTGGCGGTGTTGTTGAGCAGGTTACTTGGACTTGCATGCACCTGTGCTGACATGTAAGGCTGTACATTTTTGAAGGCTTTCATAACACGTCTACATTCTTGGAGAAGATCCTCAAATTTTACAGGATTTGCTCTCAAACTGCAATTCCTTCTCTGTTTTAATTGAAACTGTTTCATGAAGGAATCCTTCTGTGTTGGGCTCCAGGCAGCTGTCGGTCTCAATGCTGTCATTACAGTCTAATCTTGTACCTCGGCTGTACCGACAGGTGGCTGTGGAAATCTGTGATCTGTTTAGCGATGGGTGGTACATACCAAAAAAAAAATGAACGTTTGGACTTGCACAGACCGGTAACCCAATAGCAGCAGTCCTTTGAATTTTTTTTTTAAGAAATGTTGTCAGCATCTCAAAGCAGAAGTTGCCTAGCTTTAACTGTGGAAGTGTTCCCTTTGTCAGCTTACTTTAAACTAACTGATCCTGATATCTGTCCATAAACAGAAAATCTATTCCCTCCAGCAAGTGAGTCAATTAACTAGAAGGAAGTGATTTTAGATTGTTGGTGAAATATCTGGGTGTGGGGAAGGGCAATTTTTTTCATTGAGCTATCAGGATCTGGGACAACAAATATTTTTGCGGCTTATTGTTAGTTTTATAAGATTTGGCAGGTACTTGAACCAAGGGGAAATTACATGGTCATGGTTAAAAGATGGGGGTATGGTGCCAAGGACAAGTGTTCTTTCAAAGAGCCAGCACAGGTACAATGGAGTGAATGGACTCCTCCAATGCTGTTGTTTCTATGATTCTACTGCAGAAAACGTGCATGAGGATGGAGAGCAACCTCTGCAATCAGGAAAGGCCAATCAGTCTGTTCTGCAAGGATTGCCACTGGTACTTCCCTGTCTAACCTCATAGCATCCACTGACCCCAATTTCCTACTGATAGCCAAAAGACAGGTCCTAACCAAAGGTACAACAGGAGATAATTTCATCCTGCAGGTCTGCACAAATAAAACTCAAACAAAACTGTTAAGGTCTCCATAAAACTCGTTTTCTCCTCATAGCCTCCCATGGCACTGTTTTTGAAGAACAGCAAAGGAATCTTCCTGGTATCCTGGAGCCATCAGACATACCACAATAAAATTGCTTTTGACAAAAAGGTGGAGTTATGTTTGTGGGATCTTGCTCTGCCTGACACTCCTTGCTACAATTTCTACGTTACATTAGTGACAATACTGCAGTAAAGCCCTATGGAGCAACTTGGGGTTGTCGCAGTGACTGTGGGATGTTGAATGTCCACCCAAGAGGTAATGGACATCTTGGTTAAATGCAACAGTTCCCTTACACAGCACAGCCACACATTACTGTGATTCAGCTCCTTGAGAGCAGTTTATTTGTGGCCCGGCACGAATGCTTCACTCAAAGCCTATGCGGCATCACATGACCTCAACCCAGTGGCCGACGTAACTTTTCCCCAACATAAAAACTGTGTTTTATTCCTCCTGCTCTACACAAATGTCCTGCTCCCTCTAATTTGCTTTCCTTGTAGTCATGAGCAAGGCTGACCGTACCTGTCATAACTTCAGGTCATCTTAGCCAGTGAGATGTGATCTGGTATAATGTGGCAACCATTTGATACGTAGTAAGCTCCACCAAACAGGTAAGAGATGTTTTTTTTTGTGGAAGTGCAAAAAAACAGCAGATGCTGGAAATTTGAGCCAAAACCAGAAATAATTGGAGAAACTCTGTAGGTCTGGCTCATCTGTGGAGTGAAAGCAGAGTCAACGTTCAGATCCAGTGACTTTTCCTTTGCTTTAGATGATGTTGATTGAGGGATAAATATGACGAGGTCACTGAGGAGACCTTCCCTGCGCATCTTTTTCCGAGAGAGCAAATTGAGTCTCATCTGAAAGATGGTATTTCTGACAGTACCGCACTCCTTCAGTTCTGCACTCGGACTGCTGGTTTACATTTTGTTTCCCAAAGTCTCTGGTTTGGGATTGAACCCACAACCTTCTGATTCAGAGCCAAGAGTGCTTCCTACTGAGCCACAGCTGATCAATCGTAAAGTGGAAAGTTGGAATCCTTTCCATAAATTTCCATAAAGGAAATCAGCTGAAAAATTTCAAAACTGGGGGTGACAAGAGTTTTTGATAAGAGTATTGAGGACTGTGGAATCAAGATGGGTAAATAGAGTTGTAATACAGATCATCAGTGGTCTGATTGAAGAGCAGAATAGGGGCCATGTGAAGTGGTAGTCTAAGATTCAACATGTAGCAAGCAGTATTTTCTTTTTCATGTATTTCTCCAAACCTAATGCATTCTCTGTTTTCCTTTTCCCTCAGAGAGCCTGCACAACACCACACGAGGTTACGAGGTGATGATGCAGATCGATTGTGAGGTGATGGACACCAGAATTATTCAGATCAAGAGCTCGTCGGTGCCCCCTTCTCTCCGGCAGCCTCAGCACAATGGCACGGGTTCCTACCACCCACACAGCAACACCAGCAGGGCACCCAGTGCCAGGAGGCTACGGCCCCCACCCCTACCCATCTCTGCACCGAGCACCAAGGACCCACTGTACCTCACAACAGAAGACGGTGAAGTGTAGTGCTGGTGTTTCCTAGCTCTGTGCCCTGTTTTACAGTCCCACCCACCAGGAAGCGAAAAGGATCATTGATTGACTGGAGAAGTTCTTCATTTGTTGTCCTTCCCCACCTCCTGTTCCCCTCCACAAACACCTCCTGCAAAGACCTGACAATTCCGCTTTAAGGTTACAAATGAAACTTGGTACTGGGTGGTGTGGTGGAGGCGTGAGGGAAGATTCTGATTGCTTTTAAGCTTCTGTAAAAGGGACAAGGACCAAATTGTGCTCGCCATCTTCCTATCTTGGAAAGCTGTAACACGTTATCTACTGCTTTTAAGGTTCCCAGAGCTGTGGCTCCACACGAGTCTTTAGTGATGGTGAAAACCAAGTTCCTAGGAAGTTGTGCAGATTTGCAGTAATGGCTTATAATTCCACTACCATAACTGTGAAATATTTTTTAGGCCTGTTCTCCCCTTTTCCTTCTTCAGCCCCTAGTGATTCTGGAATATGGCCTCGTACTTCACGTTTTTCTGGAAATGACCACACCAGCAATGAACGTCCGGTCCACCGTGCTGACCTATTGCATGTAACTCTTGTGTTTATCCTTAATCCTTTTGCACTATGCAAGTTGTTTATTTCCCCCTTTCTGTTCTGAATGTGAAGCTGCATTGCAGTTGCACAACATGCAGGTGGCCTGTGCCAGCACAGCTTGCTGTAAATACACTGATGAAACTCAGAGCAGCCCAACAAGCTGGAGCATCACTATAATGAGATTGGACTTTTGCCCTGTAAACTGTGTGTAAAGAAAATATCCCAAAAACTGTTGTGTAATCTTGGTTTGGCTGTCTCAGGGTCCATATTTACACTGTCATGATTTGGCCATAACGATTTTGTCCTTACTGTTCCAATTTAATCCTGTCCAGTTACTTGATGGCGACAAACCATTTTTAATCTCACGCAAGCTGAAATCTATAATTGACTACTGTCCATCATCCCTAATCTGTTTGCTTTCCAATGAAAATGTTTGCCATATTTTGTTTCTGGCTCCATTACCATGTATAGTACAGAATAGGAATTTCACTGTTAAGGAATGTACATTGGTTTTCTGTTATGTTGTCATTCTGTTTACTGATGATTGCGTGTGTGTCCTTGTGCACTTGTGTCCCACATTGATGTTCAGCACAATTTGGCATTTGTGGTTTGATTTTTATTTGCCTTCATGTGTTCCAAATCATCAAGCATTAATTTTTGCTGTTGTAAAGCAGGGGCCCTTGCTTCACTTATGGGAGGTGATGTGGGGCTCAATAGCTCGGTCATAATTGAGGTGCCTTGGTATGACTGGGATTTCGTAGTTTCACAAAAGGAGGAAATACAGTTGGAGCCAATCTAACGTCCAGCCATTTTCTGACTTTTTTTCTGTTTGTTACAATGCCCTCACCAGGGGCTGTGTCTAACTTGTTTACAGTTGTATTTAAGCGAATAGCAAGTCAGGGATGGCAAGAATATTTTGCATGATTTGCAGCCGCACCAGCCCAGGGTGAAGTGTAAAAATCTATCAACGTGTGACGAAAATCCTGCCCAACCCAACATTGACTGTGGATTCGTCGCTGAGCAATGACTCACCAATGTGATGGCTCCCCAAGTTGTTAGCTGACCTGTGTCTACATATAAACCTAATGTTGGTTTTTTTTTGTACAAAATTATATAATTTATTATTTAACTTTTTTTTTAGTGTGGTATATTTCTCTCTCTGTCTCTCAAAGTCTTCAGAGCAGACCAACTTTCCATTTGACATGAAACTGAAATATGCAAAAGCCTTTTGCTACACTCTCCTCCCCTCCACCAGAAATGAAGTTTCAAATTGTCTTTATTGATCGACTCCTGACGAGTACTCAAGTAGAATCACACAAGCGGGTCAATATTTGTAATTGTTTTGCGATTGAAGGTGAACATTTTCTTAAATTTTCTGTTTGATTCTATGGTTTGGCACCCCAGTGTGTATATTGACAGACCTTTCACTGGAATTGCATTAATGGCAAAGGGCAGAAGGAATTGAATTTTGATGTGTGCCAGTTTCAGCAGTGCTCCTGATGGTTCTACAGAATATTACTGTAGTGAAATGCCTTGAGTACTGACCCTTTCGGGCCTGGAGCAGGCCGAGGCCATTGAACACCTCAGCCTTGTTCCATCATTCAGCTGGATTCTGGCTGATCTGTACATTATTTAGGAAGAAAGAGTTTATTGCAATTATACAGTACTTTATGTAACTTCTGTACCTCCCAAGGCACTTTACCAAACATGTTCCGTTCCCTGTCATATATAGCTGCCATTGTAATACAGGAAACACGGTAGCTAATTTGCATCCAGCACACTTTCACAAGCAGCAGAACTGAGCAAAGAATTGGTTTCCGTGTTGGCCAGGCCATCAAGCCTCAACCTCCCCTGCTGCACTTCCACCTGTGTCATGCCATGTGTTTTGGTTTTGAAAAACTGATAGACTGGCCCATTTTGACGGTGCCCTGCCTGCTTAATATTGCACCGAGTGTTAGCCAAGACACTCTGTTCCAGTCTCTGCATTAGGACTCGAACACACAGCCTTCTCACTCCAGCAAGAGTGAGTGAATGTTGACCCACTCACCCAGGGCTTGCCACCCTGATCTGTCAGTGTGAATTTTGATATTTTAAGTAATGTGGCTTTTTGAGGGACAGTTGGCAGATTTCCTTCACCCTTTATGGAATAACTGCATCCTGCTTTTATTCCTACCTTTAAGGTGGAGCAGCCTTGATTTCTATTAATTTGCATCATGAAAATAATTTCTGAATGCTGTGTCTTCCTTAGTGAATCCTTTTATTTTAAATATGGTGTGCTGGTACCCCCGTTGCTGCTTTCTAGAGATCCTAATATGAAAAGAAAAAGGGCATTCAGCCCTCGGACTGTTCTCCTATTTAGTTAGATTACAGCTGATCTGTGTCTTAACTTCCTCCACTCTCCTCTTCTATAGCCCATAATGGGGCATGCCCAACAAAAAGACATATCATTTCCTCTGTAAAAATTCAACATTGTTCCCAGCCTTTTGAGGGTGTGTTCCACATTGTATGAGCAAGTCTTTTCCTCATTTTGTTCAATTTTAAGGTTATACTTTCTTGTTCTGGAACCGGCGGAACTGGTTTCTGTTTTTCTGAGTTATGAGTTTTTTTTTGTAAACTCCAACAATCAAATAATGCCTCAATCTTTACTCAAGGGAATACAAGCCTGATCAATGTCCTCCTAGTTTAACTGTCTCAGCCCTAGTTTTATTCTGGTTAGCTGCACCTTCCCCAAGGTTACTATTTCTGGCCTAAGCCTCTTGCTGGGATTGGATCTGAACAAGCAGAGATCTCGTTGAGATGAAGGTCTTTATTCCAACAGTCTTCCATGATGTGATGTTGTAGTCAGATTTTATTTCTACTTGATGTTTCTGTTGTCATTCTAGTAGCATTTTACCATTTAAAGCTTAGCGAATTTAAATTGGAGAATCCCACCCGGTGCCATGGTACAAAGTCTGTACAATTTTTGCATTGGTTTAGAGAGTTGTTTACAGCACGGAAGGGAGCTATTCATTCCCTCGAATACTTGCCAGGTCTCTAATAAGTCAGTGCCGCTCCCTCTCTGTCTTCCTAGATGTTTATTTTCCTCATAGAATCTGACTTCCCTTTTAAATCTTTGATTGCCTCTGCTTCCATCACTTGTGGGTGTTGAATTCTGAGCTTGAGCCCCATTTTGGGAAGCCCTGCTCTAATCCTGCACTGCCATCTGATGGGAATGGTTGTTCGTTGGCTAGAGAAGCTGGGATTATTCTTCTTTAATTAGATGATGAGACATTTGGCTATTTTGGGGTCACTAAGAAGAATGCCTTGTCCAGGTCTGTGCATCGCTCATCGATGTATTACAACCTGGTGTTGACAGAGGATGAGGCAGATACATCACACCAGGAAGTCTAAAAGGACTAATTCGCCAAGCAATGGACATCCTCCATCAACTGGGACATGAAACTGAGAGCCCTGTATCTCAGTTGCACTAGCCCGCCACCAGTAGTCTTATTCTATAATACTAAACAAAGCAACATTAATGTATAATAATTCTGAATATAAGTACTAAAATAAAAAACAAAAATGATAAACAGAGAACATTAAAAATTAAGTCATTAAATTACATTAAGATGCCATAGCTTTTTTTAAGTATCCACCCACCACTGATTTTAAAAACCCTTATGATGGTGCCACCATATCCTCCAACAGTCTGCTGAATTCCGGCACTAAAGGATCAGTGAAAGTTATACATGGTGAAAAACTGGACAGAGATTATTGCCTTGTTCAACTGTTACTGAAAATTTGTAAAAGTTCCAGTGTCAGGGCTATAGTTAAGCATGAGACGTCCTGAGCGAAGGACTTAAATCTGTGAATCTCAAAGACCCTCATGAGGTTGTTCAGTTTGAACCATTTCTCTAGAGTGCCCATGACAAATCTGAAATGAACAGGTTCAGATCTGCCAATCAGTTCCTTGATCTCATGGCCAAGGTGTTAATCCTTTTTTGTTCCAAGCAATTTCCATTGTCTTATTATCGTCTTCAAATCATACTGAGACATCATCGACTGTGGTGACTTTGTCTTTCTTGAAGATCAAATCCATTTTCTATAAGCATCTGTCCTGGTATTTTAGCCTTGGCTCAATGGATGTTATCCACCCTTAGTTTCCAACTTATTGCTTTAACTTGACAACAATCTTGGAATGTGATTTGTGTGTTTTTGATGAATAGGAACATCCTTGAGACGTTCCAATTTTCCAGAGTCCTTACATCTGCACCACTCCTTAACCATGAGCGGTCTGCCTCTTGAAAGTGATCCTGGTAGGATATAAATTACAATGTAATAGTTAGCCATTGATTAACCTTGATGATTTGATATTGTATAAAGCTTTAATTGAGACCGAATCATTTTTAAAATAATTGATCCTAGATCTTTGGCTCTTCAACTATTAACTATTTAGCATTTCCCAATCTCTCCACATCATATTGTTGGTCAAAGTAACTATTTCTGATATTTTGGGTTTGGGACCAGTGTGATTCATGGACTCCTTCATGTCTACTGTGGGATTACTTTTTGGAAGGTCTCAATCTTCAGGATCTTAAGTTCTTGTACTCCTTTCGCAATGTCAGAGAACTGCAATGAGGCCTGTATTACAAGTTCTACAGATGCTTTGAGTACTTGCCGTTTCCAAATAATAGCAGCTGGGATTTGTATCTTGAGCTTGGGCCTACCTAGACCACCGTCCTAGTTCTTGGCATATATCTCAGTCAAATGTGGCATGAAATGGAGAAACTGGTGGCATTGCGGATGATTAAGTCAAGTTTTTGAAGGGTAATCTGGGATGCTTCTATGAGGATCAAGTGATAATAATACTTATTATCCCCATATTTCCTGAGGAGTTTGATTTTCTGAATTGAAGAGAAAGCAGCCTGTATTTTTCCTCCATATATTTCAAACTTTCTTAAGCTGTGTCCTCTTGGCCTGGGAGTGATTGCGTGTGACTCGGCTCCATTCATTAGAGAGTCAGTGAAGCTTTCCACAAGCTGTAAACCAAGCCACCCTTCTTACTTAATAGTTTGCGAGCTTGCGTTAATTGATAGCCCATCTCCTAGTGTTTAGGGTTGCAAACTGGACAACAGACAATCCTTGTATCTCTCAGATGACTTTTGAGTACTATCCTCCTCATTAAGACCAACCTCTGAGATGTCTTCACCAGTCTCATCATGCAGTAGTGGTTTTGCTACCACTTGGGTGTTCTGCAACACTGTTTATCAGAAATTTGCTTGGAAGTTTTGTATTTAGGATACTGGCAATCTTTTTGTTTATGACAGAGTTAAGATGAGAAGTTGTTTCTTCTGTCCATTTTGTAAACTCTCCTCTGTAGCTTTGCATTGACTTTTAAGGTCTCCAGATGTTTTTCATTGCGTAGCACTGCCTGTCTACAGGCAAAGCGAATCCTTGATGAGAATGTTAGCTCATACACAGAATATGCATAGGCCCCAAGTTAGTTTAAGCTGGTCTTATGCCACTGCATTAGCATAGTGACAGGCTATTGCATGATCTTTTCTACTTTTCTCACATTTGGAGCACATAATTCAGATGTTATTGATCTGATGTTTCTCAACCCTTTGGACACAGGTGCCTAAGAAAGAAAGTAGAGAGCTGAAGAATATGCAAAATAACCTTTCAGTGGAGTAAGTGTACCACAACCTCATTTACGGTGGTTCAGTCATATGTCCGATCAATGATGACAGGCTCCATGTATATATGCTATCATTTCAGATATTATTATTTTTTAATTCATTCATGGGATGTGGGTGTTGTTGGCTGGACCAGCATTTCATACCCATCCCCAATTGTTAAGAGTCAACCACATTGCTGTGAGTCTGAAACCTCTTTTGGCCAGACCAGGTAAGAAAGGCAGTTTCGTTCCTTGAAGGGCATTAGTGAACCAGATGGGTTTTTCCCAACAATTGACAATGGTTTCATGGTCATCATTAATCTCTTAATGTCAGAATTTTTTAAAAATTAAATTCAAATCCCACCATCTGCCTGGGTCTCCAGAACATTACCTGGGTCTCTGGATTAATACTCTAGCGATAATATCACTGGGCCATCGCCTCCTCATTGCCAATACTATTGTCGACCACTTCA